GTGCATTTTGCATCTTAACTTTACCATTATCTTATTTCTTACCCTTATTTTCTCTGTGCTATGACCTCCTGATTTGCTTTCACTATGTATTCCTGTGGAGCTCTGGTGGTGTAGTGCTAAGGCATTTGACCGCTAATCAGAAGGGTGGCAGTTCAAATCTACCAGCCACTCCGCAGAAGGAAGACTGGGCAATCTACTTCCGTAAAGATGTACTGCCTTGGGAACCCAAAGGGGATCGCTATGAGTTGGAATCTACTCAATAGCAGTGGGTTTGGTTTGGTTTGGTTTATGTATTCCTGTAAGATTTCTCAACTCCTCCTCCGTGAAAAAGGACAGTTATAAATCAATCATCTAACTGTGTGAAACCCAAATGTTTACCCATGAGGATTAGCTCGCTCATAAGTCCTGTTGTTGTTGTTGTTGTTATGTGCCCTTGAGTCAGACCCGACTCATAGCAACCCCTCCTTGGGTTTCAGAGGCAGTATCATTGCCCAGCCTTCCTTCTGAGGAGTGGCTGGTGTTTTTGGTTGGGTTCACAAAGATGAAAAAGTACACATGAAAAATATAATAATTTATTTTACTTTGTTTCACTTTGGTAATAAAAAGACTAGTGAGAAGATTAAAAGATGAAGCAATAATATATTCATTGGAATAAAAAATTAGTGTAATAGTCCCTAGAGTATTCTAGAATAAATTGGCTTTATTAATTTAGAGCAATTAATGACAGCCATAAAGGTGTATAATTACATTACACATTAAAATGAATTCTTTCCCCCCTACATTTCCACTTATTTGGGAGAAAATACATGAAAACTTGCCACCATACAATCAATTTAAATAAGTTGTTCAGAAACAATGATATAAAAAGAAAGTATAAACTGGAATGTAGTACATTTTGGCCAAATGCAAAGGTTAGATTCATTCTGGCTCATAAAGGAAGATAATAGTGTATATGATTTTGAAAATTCACTGAAACTTTTTCCCTGAATGGGTTTCTTTGTGATGCATTTTCTTGAGTTCTGTCCATGACTGACACAGTAACAGTCCTGGTACCAAAACCCAGAGACCATTAAAAAATACCAGATATACCCAAAAGTACAGCCAGTTGCTGGTGTTGAGATTGGGGCTTCCCATAAGCCAGTCCGGGAAGAAGGTCATCCACCCACCATACAGCTCACACACACATAGGGTAATCTGTATGAAATGCCTGTAAGAGAGTAAGAGACAAGAGATGCAACAGCCAGCCTGGCACAGTTTTGCACCCTGACTAGTGACACTTTTTAATGGCGGCTTCAACACCATTTCACTATAGGAAACCTTTCTGAAGTTGGACCTCAGGGCTGCTAGTGGTGCTCCTACTAGGGCAAGTCAATCTAAACCATGAAGACACATAGTTTCCTTGGAGAAGTAACACTGCCCTTTCTAGAGAAATTTACTTTGTAGCCAGTGGAACATAAGTTTTCTAGAGTTATTTTTTTGGGGGAAAGGTTGGAAATACTACCCTTTTGTTCTCTGAAATCCACCACCAGTTGTCACAGAGTCGACTTCCGACTCACGGTAACCCCTCGTGTGTCAGAATACAACTGTTGCCCATGGGGTTTTCAATAGCTGGTTTTTGGGAATTAGATCACCGGGGCTTTCTTCCAAGGAATCTCTGGGTATACTTGAACCTCCAACCTTTGGGTTAGCAGCCAAGTAGTTAAAATGTTTGCACCACCCAGGGACTCCTTGGTGCCAAATCATCCAGCATTGTTATTACTGAAAGGAGCATAGTGGTTAAAGCATTTGGCCAAAAGGTCAGTGGTTTGAACCCACCAGCCACTCCACAGAAGAAAGATGGGGGCAATCTTCTTACATAAAGATTTATAGCATTGGGAACCCAAGGAGGGTCGCTATGATTCAGAATGGACTTGATGGCAGTGAGTTTGTGTGTGTGTGTGTGTGTGTGTGTGTCTGTGTGTTTTTTGGTTATTACTAAAGGGAGCCCTGGTAGCAGAGTGGTTAAGCGGTTGGCTGTTAACTGAAAGCTTGGTGGTTCACACCCACCAGCTGCTAAATGAAAGGTCAGGAGTTCGAACCCTCCAGCCACTCTGCAGGAGAAAAATGTAGCAATTGGCTTCTATAAACATTACAGCTTTGGAAACCCTATGAGACAGTTCTACTCTGTACTATCACTATGAGCTGGAATCAACTTGAAGGGAATGGGTAGGTTATTACTAAAATCAAATTTCTCTCTTTTTTTTGAACAGTTACAATTATGCTGGTGGCACCATGACCCTTGTCTAATATCAAACAATTTTCATTTCTACTCTACCTTTTGTCTAACAAATAAATGTGTTTCACAATCTACTCCAAATGTCAATTAGGCGTCAGGAGAGTAAATGTTTCTCCTCCCTTCCACAGGACAGGAGAAGGGCACTTACCGATAATATTTCTCTTTGACTATGGCATAAATGAGGAACAATGCTAGAGATCCATCCAGAAAAACAGTCAGAAGTTCCACGGCCATAAGGTTTGCATCAAAATAAAGCCATCTTGCATCAGCTTTGCCATATTCTATCCCTGAAAACAAAAAACAATTTGTTACTCACCTGCCAATCATGTCTATGACAATCAGTGGAAATGACCTTTTTCCCCTAGGAAGGAGATGAAAAGAACTGTCACTCTCTCTACATTCTTCATAATGTCTTAATGGAAGGTAAGAAAAATGTTAAGACTAAAATGAATTTACCACCAGACACAAGTAATAACATCATGTTCTATTTGTTAAATAACTTACAGTTTCCAAAGTACTTTCAAATGTGTGTCCTCTTCACCCCCCACCTCCCTTTTCATGATTACTAGTGGGATTCTAAGTTAATTCTACATAGTCCAGTTTTGCAAAGATAATCAATAATTTTCCTGGTAAATACATTCTAAGTCCTTACTTCAGAATTTCAACGTAATGTCTATAAATATAATTTTCAAAAGTAAAAACCCACTGCTATCAAGTTGATTCTGACTCACAGTGACCCACAGGATAGAGTAGGACTGCCCCATAGGGTTTCCAAGGCTGTAAATCTTTACAGAAGCAGACTGCCTCATCTTTCTTCCAGGGGTAGACCGCTAAATTTTTAGTTCCCAGCCAAATGCTTTAACCACTGTACCACCAGAGCACCTTACAATTTGTTGTTGTTGTTGTTATGTGCCGTCGAGTCGGCCCCGACTCATAGCGACCCCTCCTTGGGTTTCCAAGGCAGTATCACTACGGAAGTAGGATTGCCCAACCTTCCTTCCGAGGAGTGGCTGGTGGGTTTGAACCGCCAGACGTCTGGTTAGCAGACAAGTGTCTTAGCCACTATGCTACCAGATGTGTAAAAACTGTAATTAAGGAAATGTTTGTAAGAAATACATGTGTATTAATAATTGAAGAGAAACTGAGTGCTGAGGAAGCAGCGGGGAGAGGAGGGAGACGACAGAGCCTGGCTATAGGGTGAATCTAAATGGACAAAGGGGTGGCATTTCAGGCTGCTATGGGGCCAGAGGATTCACCAACAATAGCCATCACACAAAGACTCAGTTGTGCTGATGCAGAGCAAGCACATCCTATGTTAACACTCTTTATCAGGCTCTTCCTTCTAGAAAGTTCCATGAAGTCAGACACTCTTTTCAGAGCCTGACTGAGAGCCATCCACTACTGAGGCCATTTGTCTCCCTTTTTTCTAATCTATAAAAGTAATATATGTTGATCAAAAGATCTCCAATGATTAGAGAAAGAAACCAAACTCTCCCTTTCAAAACAGTTCTCCCATTATTTAGAAAAAATAAGGGTGGTGAAAAATTAACTGTGTTATCTTGTTGGTCTGAACAGTACAAAGCTCCAGTTTCATAATGGCCAGAGGAAGGATCCCTTGGGGTCAGGGGCAAAGAAGGTTTCTGATGAAAAGGCTGCCCTAAGGGAAAGAACAGCCAATAAACAGGATTAGTCATTTAATGAGATAACAAAAGACACCGCTGCAAGGAGATTCTGTGAAGGGCCAGAAACAAACAGCAGGCCCAGCAGAGCCATCCAGCCTGTCCTCGCTACGTGCAGTGCTTTCCAGTAACGGTACTAACTAGAAAACACCGTTAACACTGAAAATAAATGTTCATTTCCCCTAACTTAAAATACACATGCAATAGGCAAAATGTACCAGCTAGTGCATCCAATATCTTAGGAAATATCATTTTGTAAAATGTAAATTATTTAGGAATAAAGGAATTAGTAGATGTTTAGACACACACACATACACACACATAAAACCCTATTCATTGTTTAACTCAATAAATCTTTTTGGGCATCACAAGGCTCTGTGCTAGGGCTGTAGAATGTGGCACTGCCTAGTACACAGAGTTGGCAGCAAGTGGCCCATGGTCTGTGAGCTCAAAACCATGGGATAAGTGATGTGATGATGGTAACAGAGCATAAGGTGTGGAGGAAGTGGCACTTAACCAGACTAAGGGGATCTGAAAGGAATCTTGGTGGTGCAGTGATTATGTGCCTGGCCACTAACCAAAAGGTCAGCGGTTTGAACCACCAGCTGCTCCACAGGAGAACTATGTGGAGTCTGCTTTTGTAAAGATTACAGCCTTGGAAACCCTATGGGGCAGTTCTACTCTGTCCTGTAGGGTCACTGTGAGTTGGAATCAACTTGATGACAACACAACTGGGTTTTAGTTTAAAAGGATCATGGAAGACTTCCTGGAGGAGGCAACTCCTAAACTGGGAGGTAATGTGTATCTGAAATGGCAGGGAATTCACCAAATCTGATGTGTGTGCGGGGCATCCTGATCTGATTAACTTTCATCATCTCTTTGCCAAAGAACTAAACAGCAATCACGAGCATTAAAAAGTATAATAATGAAGTTGATATCATTAACTGGTGACTGAAGCCCAGGCTTAGGCAGAGGTTTAGAGGGAACAGATGGAAAGTAAGGACTCAGTAGGCTTCCACTGTGGGAACTGCCCTTGTGCCATTTTTCAGAGCATGCAGATGGTTGTTGCTGTTGTGGTGTGCTGCCAAGTGGATTCCAACTCACAGCAACCCTGTAGGACAGAACAGAACTGCAGCACAGGGATTTCCTAGGCTGTAATCTTCACAGGAGCAGATCGCCAGATCTTTTCTCCCACGGAGCAGCTGGTGGGTTTGAACCACTGACCTTTCGGTTAGCCGCTGAGTTCTTAACCACTGTATCACCAGGGCTCCTTGCATGGAGATTAGGAAGGATAAAGGTCTGCCTAATGTTCACAGCAGGGGAGCCCTGGTGGCTTAGTGGTTAAAGCGTTCAGCTGCTAACCAAAAGGTCATCAGCTCAAACCCACCAGCTGTCCACTAGTGGTCCACAGGTGAAAAATGAGGCCATCTGCTCCCATAAAGATTTACAGGCTTGAAACCCCTATATACGGCACTTCTACCCTGTTCTAAGGGTCACTATGAGTCACAATTGACTCCATGACAGTGGGTTTGCTTTTCTTTTTTAATGTTCACAGCAAGGTCCCTGGTGGGCACAAGTGGGTAGCACTTGATTAAACCAAAAGGATGGTGGAGTGAATGCACTCAGCAGTGTTGTAAAAGAAATGTCTGGCAATCTGCTTTTGCAAAGATTGTAGCCAAGAAAACCCGATAAAGCAGTTCTACTCTGTAACACGTGGGGTTGCGAAGAGCCAGATTCGACTCAATAGCAACAGGTTTTGCTTTTCTTGGAATGTTGACAGCCTGGCTCTGCACCTAGTGAGTGTTCTGTGGATCAACATCTGGGAGGCCCTGCCCCAGACCGGAATCATAATCTGCATTTTAAAAAGCTCCCCAGGATTACAATCATTGTCATGAAACAAACTGTGTATGAACTGTCCCATAGAAAATGAATTTGCTCTGTGAACTTTCACCCAAATCACAACTAAAAAAAGGAAAAAGACCTGGCTTACTGGTCAGATAGATATTGGTGGAATCCCTGAGACACCCTGCAAGCCTGAACTCACCCCTGTGGCTCAACTTTCAGCCAAATGGTAGACAGGCCTATGAGATAAACAGTAACCCCAGGGAGGTAAGCCACTCATCACAACAAATCAACCATATGAGGTCAAAAGGGGAGCACCTGCCCAGGCCTAAAGCTCAGAGGCAGAAGGGACAGGAAAGAAGGATTTAGGGAAATGGTAAACACAGGAGGAAGTGGGAAGAGTGCTGTTATTTGTGGGGATTGCAATCAATGTCACAAAACAAAGTGCACATGAATTGTTGAATGGAAAACCAATTTGCTCTGCAAACTTTCACCCAAATCACAACAAAAAGGTTTAAAAAAAAAAAAAAATACTCCCCAAGTGATTCATGCACATTGAAATCTGAGAAGCCCTACTTTACATGACTTCTTAGATTTTCACTTTCAGGAAAACAAAGGACACCTCTATTAAGTTTTCATTCCTTTACAGTGAAGATGTAAACATGACGATGATTTATAAAGACCAAAAAACACCAAACTCCCTGCCATTGGGTCGATTCCAACTCATCCCTGTTGGGGACATTCCCGTTTCCTGGGACTGAGCCAAATCTAGGACCTTCTCTTTCTCTGAGACTAGGCAGGGGTCAGGGCAGGAAGCCTCAGCACAGCCTCTGACAAAGGGAACAGGGTGGGGGCTCACCTTGGAGGATTCTGACTGAGGCTGAGGTCCTCTGGCCTCTGGACCTGTGCCAACAACTCCCAAGCAAAGATTAACAGAGCTCTGAGGATGCAGTGCCTAAGGCATTTGACTGCAAACCAGAAGGTTGGCGGTTCAAACCCACCAGCTGCTCCACAAAAGGAAGATGGTGCAATCTACTTCTGTAAAGATTTACCAAGTTGGAAACCCAACAGGGGTCGCTATGAGTTGGAATCAACTCAATGGCAGGGAGTTTGGTGTTTTTTGGAGCTTCCCAAAAAGTTACACAGCTGCATTTAGCTCATCTCCACTCCTAAGAAGGAAGATTGGGCAATCTACTTCTGTAGAGATACCACCTCGGAAACCCAAGGAGGTGTTGTTACAAGTCGAGAAAATTGACTTGACAGCAGAGAGTTTGCTGTGGTTTGCTGTGACTGAAGGAAACTGATTCCAGATTCAGGGGCTCAGACTCCCTGAACGGCTACTAACTATGGCTTGAAAGGCATCAAAGATGACACGTTTTGTTTTTAGAAGCACTAACTGCAGTTGATTCAATTCTCTAGAAGATTCCTTACTGCTAGTGGAATCTTTTGGCAGTGCAAATGGTTAATCTGCTTACTGCTAACAGAAAGACTGGAAGTTTCAAAGGCACCTTGAAAGAAAGGCCTGGTGATCTACTTCTAAAAAATCAGCCTTTGAAAACCAGCCTTTGAAAAACAGCACAGCTCTACTCTGACACATGGGGGTCACCATAAGTCAAGCCAAGTGGACAGCCACTGATAACTGGTAGTGGTGAAGAGGAGTCCCCACACTGATCCTGGCTGGAGACAGGCTCTCAGGATCATTAAAGATATGAGATAAATAATGCAGACTTTTGGGCACAAAATATAAAAGAAGCTCTCCTGAGCAA